TGTGTGTGTGTGTGTGTGTGTGTGTGTATCCCCCCGCCCCCGGTACTTGGAATTGATCCTAGGGACACTTTACCCCAAACTACCTCTCCAGCATTTTTATTTTTATTTTGAAACAGTCTCTCACTAAGTTTTCAAGGCTGGCCTCAAACTTGGAATCTTCCTCCTTCAGCCTCCCAAGTAGCTTGGATTATAGGTATTCCCAACCACTCTTGGCCCTTTATCATATTTTAAATAGCAAAACTAATGTGTTGCTATTATTTTTTCCTTGTTCTTTTTAGATATATGTGAAGATAGAGTGTATTTTGACATATTATACATACATGGATTATAACTTATTCTAATTAGGATCCCATTCTTGTGATTGTACATGACATGGAGTTCCACTGGTGGTGTATTCATATATGAACATAAGGAAGTTATATCTAATTCATTGTGTTTTTCCTATTCCCATCCCTTTGTTCCTCTTTGTCTAATTCACTGAATTTCTATTCTTCCCTGCCCCCACCCCTGTTGTGTGTTAGCATCGGCATATCAGAATATTTGGTGTTTGGATTTTGGGGATTGGCTTATTCACTTAGCATGATAGTCTCCATATCCATCCATTTGCTGGCAAACATCATAAAGTGATTCTTTTTTATGACTAAGTAATACTTTGTGTGTGTTGCTACTAATTCTACTTCACTTGTTTTCCAGAGGGTAAGTAAAAAAAAAAAGCAGAAATAAAAACGGAAATGGTGTAATGAAGGGAGTCACCTGAAGTCAGGAAGAACAGAGCATATATACATTAAGAACTATATATTCGGGCTGGGGATGTGGCTCAAGTGGTAGCGCGCTCGACTGGCATGCGTGCAGCCCGGGTTCGATCCTCAGCACCACATACAAACAAAGATGTTGTGTCCGCCGAAAACTAAAAGTAAATATTAAAAATTCTCTCTCTCTCAAAATAACATAAATATATATTTAAAAAAAAAGAACTATATATTCAACCTATGAGTCAAGTGAGGGATGTTCTGAAAAGTGACAACAGGAACTAATCTTTTTCCGATCAGTTTTATCAAAGTCTAATTTATGTGACAAATGTATACATCTGTCCAACCCAATTAAGATCAAGATGTAGAACAAAATCTGCTTTATATATTACCTTTACTAGTCCTAGAACTTCATATTGATGGGATCATATATTAATATAGTGTTTATTTTGCTCAGCATGTTTTTGAGATTTACCCGTGTGTTACGTACACAAATATTTTGTCCCTTTTCGAACATAGTTTGTATATTCATCCACTAAATTGATCTATCTCCAGGTTTGACTATTTTTTGAATAAAAATATACATATACCACAGGTATATACATTATGTGGTCATGTGGTAATATAAAAATTTAAGATTTCCCAAAGTAGTTGTACTATTTTACACAGTTACTAGGAATGTGCAAGAGTTCTAGTTATTCCATATTTCTGCCAATATCTGGTATTCTTATCTCTCCATTTATCTACCTAGGGATTGAATTTAGGGGTACTCTTCCACTGAGCTATATTCCCAATACTGCTTATTTTTTTGAGGGAGGGGTACT